TATTGCTCCAAGGGTTCAGGGGATCTCGTAGTCGAGCAGTCTCGACTAGAGCTTTCTTACTTGTTATATTTATATTTATTATATATATTCACATTTCAATAACCTTTTGCCACAATGCTTGAGTCTGCTGAGTCAATGGGAAAGTTTCTCGAGTTAGATTTGTTCACCTGTTTCGGCCTTCTAGCTGAGACCTTTCACGAGTTTTAACTTTTTTTTCTTTTTTGCCAATGGCAATAATTACAGCATTATAAGGTTTAGCCGTCTGTTAGTTGGCGTGTCAAGGTCGGCATTATTATAATTATTATTGTTATATAGCTTCGGCCACAGCGCTCACCTGTACATTGTTCTTGAGCGATTCACTGTTGGAATTGCCTTGGAAATATCTGAGCTCAATGCGTGAACTTTTAAGAAACGTTTCTAATCTTGGCTTATTTGATTTCGAATAATGACTTATTGAATATTGATTTTATATTTGTATCTTGTAGCATGCAAACTTTATATCAATGATTGAAAATGATCATGATTGATCATCCGTCTATATGAAAGTAGATTATGAGCTTGAACTATATGTGAAATATCTTATACATATACATATTTACTTCCTAGCATTCCTACTTCCTACTAGCTTAACAGCTAAACTCTTTGAGGCATAGGAAATCGAAGTTTTGGAACTTGAATTTGCACTAGAACCACAAATGGATTACAGTTTATCGGGCGAGACATAATTTGATTTTAGTATCAGTGGATTAATATGCTAATAAATCTCATTATATTTCAATCCAGAGACCTGGTATATAGATATATTCTGATCAAAGTCACCTAAGCATAGCTAGGCTTATTTCTTCCAATTGGGATAACTGGAAAAATGCTTTTGACGATGTTTATAATTGGGAAAGAGATATTTCTTTCTTTTAATTTGAAACTGAAAAAGTATTGTTTTAAAATGTAAATAAATACAATGAAAATACTTATTTCTTTTCAACTAAGGAAAATAATTTAATTGTCCATTATATACATATGTATGATATGTATACATTTTAATATCGTGTACATCAATATCAAAATTATATGTACGGTCTCACGAGCAGTTATATTCTCTACTAGGCAATTTGATAGCTTACAGGAATACATTAAGAGCTTTAGAATATGTATATTATGTAGGATTCTAATACTTTTTTAACTTATACGATCATTTCCAGCCCATATATGTATATAAAAATAATTCAACATGTGTCGTTGTCACTCAACACCCTGTCATCATATTGATATTGATTTTAAGGAGCACTGAGTTGGGTGGTTGTTGGGTCGACACTGAAACTTAATCAAATTTCGCACTTTGTGTAGCTTTTTGAATGGCTGCTAATAAAATTAGACTAATGTAATTGTTGTTCCTCTTTGCAGGCGGGTGCTGCCCGAGGTGAAGCCAGGCTATTTGCAGCCATTGATACCGGATGCGGCGCCAGAGAAGCCGGAGAATTGGCAGGATGTGATGAAGGACATTGAGCGAGTCATCATGCCCGGTGTGACCCACTGGCACAGCCCCAAGTTCCATGCCTATTTCCCGACAGCCAACTCGTATCCAGCCATCGTAGCGGACATGCTGAGTGGAGCAATTGCTTGCATTGGATTCACTTGGATAGCGAGTCCGGCCTGCACGGAGCTGGAGGTGGTTATGCTTGACTGGCTGGGCAAGATGCTGGATCTGCCAGCTGAATTTTTGGCTTGCTCCGGAGGAAAAGGTGGCGGCGTGATTCAGGGAACAGCCAGCGAGTCGACTCTGGTAGCTCTGCTGGGCGCCAAGGCCAAGAAGATACAGCAGGTTAAGAAGGAACATCCAGAGTGGGATGAGCACACAATCATTGGCAAGTTGGTGGGCTATTCCTCGGCCCAGGCTCATTCCTCTGTGGAGCGAGCTGGTCTCCTGGGCGGCGTCAAGTTGCGTTCAGTTCCGGCTGATGAGCACAATCGTCTGCGTGGCGATGCCTTGGAGCAGGCAATCAAAGAGGATTTGGCTGCTGGCCTAATACCCTTCTACGCTGTTGTCACCTTGGGCACGACTAACTCGTGTGCCTTTGATCGACTGGATGAGTGCGGTGCTGTGGCCAACAAGTACAACGTGTGGGTTCATGTGGATGCGGCCTATGCTGGCTCAGCATTCATCTGCCCCGAGTACCGTCACCACATGAAGGGCATCGAGACGGCCGACTCGTTCAACTTCAATCCACACAAATGGATGCTGGTCAACTTCGACTGCTCGGCCATGTGGCTGAAGGACCCCAGCTGGGTGGTAAACGCTTTCAATGTTGATCCCCTGTACCTAAAGCACGACATGCAGGGCTCTGCACCTGACTATCGTCACTGGCAAATCCCATTGGGTCGCCGTTTCCGCGCCCTCAAGCTCTGGTTCGTGCTGCGTCTGTACGGTGTCGAGAATCTGCAGGCACATATCAGACGCCACTGCGGCTTTGCCAAGCAGTTTGGCGATCTCTGCCAGCAGGACAAGCGCTTCGAGCTGGCTGCTGAAGTGAGCATGGGTTTGGTTTGCTTCCGGCTGAAGGGCAGCAACGAGCGCAACGAAGCGCTGCTCAAGCGGATTAATGGACGTGGCAACATTCACATGGTGCCCGCTAAAATACGTGATGTTTACTTCTTACGCATGGCCGTCTGCTCGCGCTTCACACGATCCGAGGACATGGAGTACTCCTGGAAGGAAGTCAGCGCTGCAGCCGATGAGCTGGAACAGTCTGAGGCAGATGAAAAGCAGTAAAAGGACAGCTAGTGTTCCAACTACATATAAATTGACATGTTTAGGGAATTTAATCATGGTTCATATATAATATATTTAAATGCTTGAAGTATCTACATACGTACATACACATATGCAAAATATTGTTGAGTATTAGTGTATCATCAAATATCATTGTTATCGTTGTTGTTCTTTAAACGCTACTCGTATTTAATAAATGTGCTTAATTAATCATTATTATATAACTAACACAAAAAATCATTCATTTATTTTGAGCGCAAAGCAATTAGCCTTTTTTAATTGAGTCTCGAACTCTAAGGCTATGTAATTTGGTTTCACATCGTCTTGTCATGCAATCTCTATAAAATTAACTTCTACAAAGATAGCCTCCTAGATGGATGTTTAGACTGCCAACTACTTTACCAAGTTATATTACAGAACAGTTCCTGATTAAGCTGAAGTGAAAATCATGTACCAAACACATGTTTTTAAAATTTTTTTCTGTTTGATATTTTCTAAGTTATGCACAAAAATGTCTCATTCGACACGTCACTTTCGACCCTGATTAAAACTAAAAAATAAAAAAAAAAACCTAAATATTTTTGATTCAAATAAAACACATTTTAAAAATGTGCCAATTTCTAATCATTTAAAATTATTTGTAATAAATTGTCCCTTAAGGTTTCGCTAAAATCTCAGGTTGATCTGTTCATTTAAAAAGCGACCTTCGTTTTTTGTAGCCTGGTTTTGTGATTATCTTGAAAACTAACATTGGCCTAATATCAGATTAGACACCAATTATAGAGCTAATTAAGAGCTAAAGGATTCACTATTAGTCAAAATAAAAAAATATTTATTTAAAAATATANTTTCAGCTTTCTAGCTCTTCAACAAACATGATTTCTGGTATATCGGAAAATGCATTTTCCGATTTGCCACGCCCCTAGTGGGCGGATCGGGAAAATTTTAACACTTTATAAATCGGAGATATACACGAGTATGTGTTCCAAATTTCAAGTCTCTAGCTTCAATAGCGCCGAAATAGATTGCGTTCATACGGACAGACGGACAGACGGACGGACGGACAGACGGACAGACGGACGGACAGCAAGACGGACATTGCACAAAACCAATATACTGATTCACTTTCGTGAATGAGTATAAAAATTACAGAAATACCTAAACTATGTATTTCAATAAATAAATATTAAACCTTATACAATTTTAACAAAATAAAATATACTATATGTATTAAAAAAAAAAAAAAAAAACTAATATCCGACTATATTTTACTCGATTGTAAATATCCGATAGCTCACCTAACAAAACGATAGAATACCAAGCCAAAAAAGTATCGTGTTTTAATACTGAGACTTTGCGACCTTTTTGTAGTCATGGCGCGAGCTATCGACAATTCAAATACTTACATAAAAATATGGCAATTTAAATTGCACGCATACATAAATGCACAGAGTAACGCTGTTTTATAATATATGCATTACATTCGTCATTCGGATTTCAGATGGACGGAATCGAACCGATCATTCAAGCGACTGCTCTCATAGTTCACATCAACTCCATGGGTTTCAGCAAGAGCAGGTGCAGCTTAGTTGCGAATGAGCAGGTAACAGAGAAGATAGAGAACTTGACCGGATAAAATATATTGAGGGTGCCAACATGGCTACGTCAGCTCCAATTCCATTTAAAGTGAAATATTTAAAAAAAAAAAACTGCTTTGAATTTGCGAGATATATTACTCTATATACAAAATGTGGTGGATTATTACTGAATGATTTTCATAAAATAAAATTCTTGCAATTTTTACGCTATTCGTTTTTATTAAATATACTTAATTAATTATATTTTTTTTTTTTTTTTTTGTTTTTTTTTTTAGACACTGTGCTTCATGTTGTAAAAGTCGATAATACGTTGCGCCTCACGTATGCCACTGGAACGTGCTCCGTCAATGGTTCCAAATCCATGCATTGCGGTGGCGTCGCCTGCAAAGAGGAGTGTTGGTGCTGCATCGCCAAGAGGAGCCGCCAAGGACTGGACATCGCGAGCGCTGCTGTCGACGGAGAAATAAGGTCGGCCGCCTAGAAAACACGCGGAGCTATTCCAGTTGGAGCGCAGCATGGCCTGCGGGTAGGGCACATTCTGGTTGCACAGGCACTTTCGTAATAGCATTGTAAACTGCTCTAGAAGCATCGCATCAGGCAGTTTCTCAATTTCATCGTAGTACCCGCCACCAACGCGTACTTCGAGGACATGTTGGCTGCTGGGCAGCTGAGATATTTCTACAATCTGTCGAGTCCAGCTTCGCTTTAGATTTGCATCTGTTGCTTCAATGGCCGCGCTGGGATTTGCTTGCTGTAATGGACATAACGGACGTAGATTCGACTTGAGCCACCGACTGATGGGCCGTTTGTAGGAAAGATAGATTTTGACTGGATTACCAAAACCTAGATTCTTTATGGCTTGTAGCTTCTCCAGCGGCAGCATGGGCTTGAACAGGATACCAGAAAAGTTCTTTAGCACGCCCAAAGGCAGCGTACAGATTATATGATCGGCACTATACAGACTGCCGTCGAGGCAACCCACAAATTGCGTATCTGAGGGCGTCTTCCACTGTATTTGGCCGACGGGTTTGCCTGTCTGCAGCTGCTGTTTGTTCAAGTCGTGGGTTAGCGCATTGACGGCGTTGTCCAGGCCAGTGGGCACGTAAATCGGATGCGCTTCCTGCTCCAACGGACATGAGGTAACATGCTGGATATTCACATACTCAAGACAGCAGCCCAATATGCTGCTGAAGTCCTTGAACAGCGACTGGAAAATCTCGCGTGCTATTGCCTGTTCGCCGGGCTGCTTAAAGGATGAAGCTATCAACTTGTCGCTCTCCGACTGAAAATATGCCATGACATTGTCCAACGAGTGCAAATCGCCGCCACTCTTCACTTTATCGCGCACCTTGAATCCGCGGCACAAGTCTCGGAACAACGTATCTATCTGTTCAACCATGCCAGTTGGCACCTTGCTCTGTTGATCTTGCTTACCATCACCCACTGTGTGCACATAAATGACGGGCGACGGCTGCTTCAGCTGTTTTGTCAGGCCTTCGGCATTACGCAATAGCTCGTACATGGAATCATGGGAGCCATTAATGTTAACCCACTTAGCGCCCAGCTCACAAAATGTGTCGCCAAAGCGCTTGGAGTTAATACGACCACCATAGCGTTCCGTTGCCTCCAGGACGAGCGTACTATGAAAACCATTCAACAGTAGATGCTTGGCCGCTGACAAGCCTGCCAGCCCACCGCCAACTATCACAATCTGGGCATTCCGTTTGGCAGACTCCAGATTATGGTTGAAGTCGTGGTGGCTGCTTCCATGCTGTTGCAGCCCGGTGAGCTCAGCTTGGAGTGCTGCTGCATTGTATAAGCTGCGCCTATTGGCTAGTTTATACATAACTGTGCACAAACGGAAAGCATTATTTATTATATTCTATTGCAGCAAATAGTCTGCACTCACCATTTCAGATCAAAGTGTCAACAGGCCTGATCAGTTTCTGGGTGTTTTGCGAAAACAGTGAAATTTTGTTATGAATGCGAGTGCTCTATGATTTGGGTTTACAACAAAACTATCGGATTGACACATTTCCCAAATACACTTTTCTATGCCAGAACAGTGAATAATATATGATAAAGTGTAATGCTTCGTTTGCTTACAAAGTATTTGTACAAAATTTTAATTTAATTAGGAACTGTCAAATACAAATCATAAAACCAATTTTACACAAAATTATAAAAAGTATATTTGCGATTCCATATTCAGTTTTCACTCCCTGCAATAAACAGCTGCATGCATTTTTTTAAGACTGGCAATGCTGCTCAACCATTTTTGTTCAAATGCTAAACCAAAGGTCATCGAATAAGTATATCGATTTTAGATATGAAATTTGGCGGTAGATTTAAAAATATTGGTTTAAAAAAAAAAGATACATTTTAAAAATATAACTAAAATACTTTGATAAATATATTGAATAAAGTGTAATTTAGAATTGTTGTACTAAATAGCAATTCTGGTATCACTGCGAGGTTATACTTGCCAATATCGTAAATGCATATCGAGTTAATTGAACATTAATTGAAGACTATTCAGTTGCGCTGAAATTGAAATGACTGCAACTTGTATAAAAAAATTATCATTGGTTTTAAGTGTTTTTCCATTTATTAAATCTAATATTTTTATTACATTGCCAACGCTTGGACCAGGTTAATTAATTTAAATATTGTCTGCATGTATATGTATGTGAAGTATCTTTTATTCTTATTTAAAACTAACGCTGTAGCGTTGCATTTGTCACATGTAATCCACTTAAATGGGTTGTAAGCTCGGATAGTTCGCCAGCCTTGCGAGTATTCACCTGTTGCTCTGCGCACACCGATGTGAGCTGTGTTTGGATTTCCGTCCAGGCAAATTCAATGTCCGATGGCTTTGGATCCATGCCGCATACGGCAAATCTCAGGAAAAGTCGCCCACAATGTTCCGCCTTCACCATGTAAATCTTCTTGCGCTCCATTAGGCGCTGCAGCAGCTGTGATGTGATTTCATTCTCACCCTTCGCCCGGAAGCAAACCAGTCCCAGAGCACGCGGAGCAATCAACTCGAAACGTTCGTCTGCCTTCACCAGATCCTCGAACTGTTTAGCTAATGTGATGTGCTTGCGTATGTGAGCTCGCAGGCCCTCAGCTCCAAGTGTGCGGAAAGTGATCCACACTTTCAGAGCGCGAAAGCGACGACCCAACGGAATCTGCCAATGGCGGAAGTCTGGAATCTGCGTCTGACCCTCGTGCTTGTGCTTTAGATAGATGCGATCCACATTGAAGCTGTCAATCACCTTGTTGGCATCGCGCAACCACATGGCGGCACAATCAAAGTTGACTAGCATAAATTTATGTAGATTAAAGTTAAGCGAGTCCACACGCTCCAAGCCACGACGCAGCTCCGAGCATTCCTCCAAAGCAAAGGCACCGCCAGCATATGCCGCATCCACATGCAGCCACACCTCATTCTGTTCACAGATGCTGGCCAGAGATTCAATGTCGTCGTAGGCACACGTGCCTGTGGTACCTAACGAAGCTATGCAGATGACTGGTATGAGACCTGCCGCCACATCTTGCTCAATGGCCTGCTTCAGTGCATCGCCACGCAGCACAAGATCCGCGCCAGCTGGCAGCAGCTTGATGGGCATGGCCGCCAAGACGCCCGCCTTCTCAATGCAGCTGTTGCTCTGATCCGATGAGTAGGCAATTAGTTTGCCCCTAATCTCACTCTCGCTCAGCTCTGGCTGACTGAGTCGCAGACGTCTAACTGCCTGCTCTCTGGCGGCGAGCACAGCCACTAGCACTGCCTCACTGGCAGAGCCTTGAATGACACCGCCACCAGGTCCCTCATTCTCGTGTAGAAAGTGTTCGGGAAGATTCAGAAACTTGGCTAGCCAATCCATAACGACGACTTCCAGTTCCGTGCAAGCCGGACTGCAGATCTGCAAATACGGAAAGGGAAAATATGTTCAGTCATTTACCCAAATGCAGATAATTTTATAAAGCTTGACCCAGTCCCCCGACATGAATAAATAAAGTTTGTTTTGTTTGTTTGCTCGCTTGCGACTTTAACAACTCGTTTGTCAAGTTCTTTGGCGCTTTCACTTGCCACATGCGGACAAAGGGCTTCCATTCAGCTCGATTGAACAAGAGATGAGATTTCACCTGCACGTACCCAACTGAAGCCCATAATGCCGAAGCCGCTGGCCAGCATCTCGCCCACAATGGAGGGGTAGGATACACTGGTGGGGTAGTAGGCATGCATATTGGGCGATTGCCAATGCGTGATGCCCGGCTTGATCACTCGATTGATGTCCTTTAGCACCTCGCTCCAAGTTTCGGGAGTCTCAGGCATTTGCTTGGGCAACAGATCCAGCAAATAGCCCGGCTCCACAGAGGGCAACACATCATGATCTCTGATGTTCTCCAAGTAATCAGCCACAAAGTCAACCGCCGCTTTGCCAAATTCACGAAATTCTCGGGCATCCATTTTGGAGCTACGGTCACGTTTTCGACGTCGAATTTTGTAGTAATGCCTAGTGCGTTTCTATTTGTACTATTCGCGTATTGTCTGTATGGGTGTTTGCCTTTTCGTTTGTTGTTTACAAAGCTCTATACACCTTTACACCCAATGACCAACAGCAACACTTTTTGTCGCTCTGCTCGCTACGAGGTTGAATTTAACTCTGTCAAAGCGCGCCTCTAGCGAACTGCCTTTTATACTGCCCGACGAACCGATCGAGCGATCGATTGTCCACAAGTTGACGCCCGAGAATTGCTCATTTAACACTCCACAACCGAGTGTCAGTGGTTAATCTAATTGTCTGCGAAACGAATTCAAATCCAGGTAACACAATTAGAGAATGCCTCTCCCTGTCTAATTATATTGACACCAAGCCATAAAGAATAAATAGTGCCGAGATATACATATATGCTTACTAACACAAATAATCAATAGCATCTCTTTAAAAAAGACGTTGAAAACCTACTTAGCTATGACAACAAAACTAGTCTAAAAAACAAATTCAAAATGATTATGTTCCATAATGAATTTGCAATTTTTATTCGAGTTTAACGGGCATCATCATCTGTTCTCATTTGGTTTGCCGATTTCTTCAAATTAATTTTAAAACTGTTCCCAATCAGTTCCAGCGCTGTTAAAGCTAAAAGTGTTCTGTCAGGCATTTGGTTTGGTATTTAAATGAAAGTAAATATTTTATCTGACATAATTTTAAATTTATTTTTTAAACTCACATGCTATATACAAGATCAAATTATAAAGTACGCATTTGCATGCGCTCGGTCGTTATTTGTTGCCAGTTGCACTTTAGTAACAACTCTTCTCAGTTAATTTATCTCGTTTCATAGCAGCCAACTGCAAACTGTTCCCAACCAATTTTAGCTGCGCTTAGAACCAACAGGTTTTGTTTGACTGTTCTAACATTTTTATATAAATAAATGTAATTTAACGAAATTTTAAACAATAATATCTAATAAACAAATTTTATTACCACTTCATTTAAAATTATAAGACTATCAGACAAAGAAAACTCTGATTTTAATTGCTACTCTCAAGCCGAATGCGGTGATTGGTGTCTGTTCCCAGATACAGTACCGCATTAGCAGTAGTTGGCTTTCTGTTCTCACTTATTCGTAGGTGCTCTCAACAGGTTTCTCTTGAGTTGACTTTGGGTCAGCGTTTCTCTTAACACAATCTCTTCCAAATAAAAGAATGACACCTGATTGACTGCAACATATCAATTCAAAACGTTTCCAATTTCAATATTTAACTTAATGTGAAATATATGCGTATTGTAACAAAACAGGTATGAGTCTTCTAGTTGGCCTTCACATATGATTTTGACTGAACTCTGGTCATTGTGCATTTATGCACGTACACAAAATCTGCATTTCCACACTATGAGAAATTATATTTTCCATATTTTTAATTGTTCTTTAATTTGTTCTTGTGTATTCTTGAATAGTGTTTTTAGTATATTATTGTTTAAAAAATATTGTTTAAATTAAATTAAATTTCATTATTTAAATGTAATTTTTAGTCTGCGAGCTGTGTCTATGCACCTCGATCTTGATGTGGATATTAGGATCGTGTAAGGATGAATTTTAAAAATAATAGAATAAACTTTCATTCTATATACTATATTACACTACATTTGTACATCCACGGCGAACTCGGCTGATTTCATCTAGAATACATTCATACATTGTACATTGTCCGTCTTGAAATGTCCGATAAAAAGTTGCAGGCTCTGCTTCTACAGTAACTCAATGACGATTGTGTCATAAGGCGAATCAATATGTATATTTGTGTACTATTCTTATAACCGTTTTAAAACTCATTTCTTGTTTGCAGGCTCGATATATAGTTGTATACTTGAGAGCTTTTTATTTCTCAATTAGATTTGAACATTCTTGACTCATTGAAGAAATACAGCTGGTGTGTCTTTTTTCCTTTTTTAACTTATAGCTCTTTTTCTTTGCATTTACAAACGTGTTTGTCCAACGCAATATTTTAGAATTTGAGGTTTTTAAATATGCTAAGAAGACGCACACATATATTTAGCTATCCTGAGATTGAAATGAGAAAACGTGCTCAAAATAAGCTGTTAAGTGTTATTACTTCATTCGAATTTTCGCAAATAAAAAATATATATTTGTGGAGAAAACTCTAATAAACAAAATGTATGTTAAAACCAGTTCACTTTTTAAATGAATTAATATTTAAAAAATATTAAATAATTAATTAAAGTTTTCTTTAAACTAAATATAAGTATTTGTATTTCAAAATGAATATACCATTTAATTTAATTTCTTGTCAGGTTTAAATATTTTATTTTCATATACAATATTTATGACTCACCCAACTAAATCCCAAGACTCCTATGCCCGCTATAAGCAGCTCTCCTATTATAGAGCCAGCAGATGTGGATGACGGAAAAAAGGCATTAAAGTAGGGCGATTGCCAGTGGGTCAATCCGGGCAGGATAATATGTTCCAGATCTTCAAGTATTTGTCGCCAGTGCTCGGGTTGCTCTGGTATTTGCCTAGGCAGCTGATTGATGACATCGTAAGGCAACACGTTGGATAGCACATTTCTGTGAAGGTAACAAATTGCTTGAAAAGGATAACACATACACAGACACACACACACACACCTCTCACGTATGCTGCTCAAGTAGTTGATTATGAACTCAATGGAAGCGTGACCAAATTCGCGAAATTCACCAAAGTCCATTTTAAACAACACTCTATAATAGATAGAGTATGTATGCGTATATATGTATATTCTATAGTTGTATATCCTGTGATCTATTCGTATTCAATATAAGAGTCTCCGTTGATACACTGCGACGTCTGACTTTTGCACTTGTTCACCGTTGACATTCGAATCGAGAAATGAAACTCGCTTCGACATGTCAAAGACTCGATCAAGCTCGCTTCGCAGTCGGTCAAAACTTTCAAACAATACTTTTTGGATGAGCCACTTGCATAGTATGTGTAAAAATGTGCACAGCCAGCAAGTTTTTCGTTATCATTGGCGAGATTTATGTAACTCGTAACGCTGTAGCGACATTAAGACAAGTTCATAGCCAACACCAACATCAACACACACAACATACAGACGCATGACAACAACCAAGACAATAACAACGAAAATAGCATGAAAATCGTCGATGACATTTTAATGAAATGCGTTTAATTGTCTAATAAAGCGAGTACACTGCAAGAAATTTCTATACTATTTCTGTCACTGTACCGACTTGTATATTAACTTGTAATATTTGTCTGTACATTGCGCGAAATTTGATGCACTTGAGTAAAATTATATTTGGGTACTAAAGTACCAGAAATTATTTAATTGAACATCTACACTGCACAAAATATCTGAGACTTAGCGATATATTACAGAGATTGCATTAAATTCATCTAAGTATATCATTGTACAAGTTCTTAACTTTTTTAAAAGTATTTTTCACTCACCAACTTTTCTCTTAGTGTATTTAATGGATGATCCATTATTATTACAATCCGGTTTATAATAATTATTACCTTGTCTTAGCTGTTGTGACTTTGGCAAAAAGTCCCTCCAAATCATTTTCAGATGCATAACATTTCCCACTTCCCCACTGCCCTTCCCCTCCCCCTATCCAGCTGCATAAACACCTGCTATAAAGTTCCGCCCAGTCATTCGAGTATGCTCGAAATTTTGAAAGTCACAGTCACTGTCAATAGATTTTCGTCTATTTTGTAAGCACGAGCTTGAACTGGGAACTCGTGGTGCATCTGCATCATCATCGTCATTATACGACTGGGCCGCTTCAAACGGTCAGTGCATTTCACAAGTTCGCATTATTTTTTCGGACTGCCCTACAATTTTCAGGGTCACGCTCCAATGTCCGATCCGTTGCTACTATGCTGCACTATGGGAAAATATGTTTTGGGCTAGTTCATTGAAGAGTTGATTTCTCAGCTTAGTCAAATTAATGATCTATCAGAAAACACAGTTGATGTCCGCCACGGCTGTATTTGTTGACGAATCAAGTCGATAAATGTGTTCCAAGATCACAATTTTCGGTTTGATGAACACTTCATCGGCCACCTTATCATATCCGAATGCGAGTCTATTGGAGTATGAAAAATGATAATTGTGTTTTATTCTTGGATTTGCCACGCCTCGAGTAAAAACGGGTTTGGCGAATGTATGATCAAGCAATATTTTAAAACTAAGGTTAAGGTGAATACCAACAAAGGGCTGTAACAGATAGTTTTCTCAATTGGCCATGCCTCCAATGAGCGATATATGCACTAGACATTCAAAGGCGGTTGCAATATACACGACTATATAGTCGTATCAAGTCAGTTTCGGCTACGGCTGCGGCTTCGTTTGACACTGACGGACAGTACGACGGATATCAGACAAAACCAATATACTCTTTATCTTTTCTTGACCGAATATAATAGTGTTTCTTTAATTTTTTGAATGAAGTATGTCACGCGTAATTGGCCGAGCATAGGCTGGTCTCCGTGTTACGATGAAAACTTGTTTATCTTGTTTATGTGCTTAAATTGTCACGAAATTTTGCAGAGGTAAAACTGTTTTCTTACTAGTCATATTATTATTACATATGGTAATTATCTTGATCATTTATTTTTACGATTTGTCAAGCAAACGTGGCACTTGTTACAATGTGACTTCGATATGAAGAATTTTCCGTCCAATTAGATCGACTAATATATTCAACATTATTTGATTAAATTTTACTTGTCAATATAATGATAGTAATATCATTATAACTGTCAACGTCACAATGCTCATTTATTATCACAATGAAACTAAATATCGACTGCATGATAAATTTCATCATAATTATATTAATTTCAATTTTAAATCTCATTATGTTAATTTATAAGAGTCTTTACAAACTTATTTTCTAAATATCCTGATTATTCTCAATATCATCATTAATATTACAATTTTAATTATCAGATAGCTTCTATGACGATTAAGAATGCTAGCTTATGCAATCAATATACACTACCAGTCCTTGGTTATGAGGCAATTATGAAGCGAAAAGTAGAGTTCGAATACCAATAACAATATGGCTCTAAGTATTATTTATTTAGAGTGTGTCAATAACTCTTTCATTTAACGCTCTGCGCTCTATGAAAGCGCCTACGATCTGTAAAAGGTTTGAAAGGTCTTAAGGATATCTTTACTGCAACAAACTAAGCCTACGCGTTGTTAACTCAACACCTTGCCTAAAAGCTCTATAAAAAAACACTAAAGACTTACATAAAAAAAAACTAGATACAAATATATTTGACATATTATTTTGGCATCATTTTTTTTGGTAAGCAAATGGCCGCCGTTTATTGCAGTTGAAATTCCATATAATAAAGACAACTATTGAATACCCCTGTGCTCCTGTGCTCCATGTGATCCGTATATTAAAAGGCGCTCTCTTGCTGGGCTACTCGGCTATGATATGACCACCAGCTGTTGTCCTCCACTAGAGTCCATCATATTGTGGTTTGGGTCAAAGCGCTTGGCGTGCGGCGTGTGGCACTTGGCGCGCTCTAAGCGTCTCATAAATAAATGCGAAAACAAAATGCCAGGCAGACGGATGGGCGGTGGGGCTGGCCAACACGAAGCACCCGTTATTGGAAAACTAGACAGGCAGACAGAAGAAAGCAGTAAAGAGCAGGGCTAAACTCACAAATACCCTGTACAATATTTAAATATATGCATTGCTTACCTAAACAAATTTCGTATAAAAAATAAATAAATAAATAAAT